CATCGCCCATGGGAGTGGATCTTGTAAGCCTTATATGTATATTTCCATCTCTTCGTAACACGAGGCTTTTTAGGAGCTCATTGGCTTCGGGTTCCATCGGAATTCCGAAGTTAAGCTAGTTCGCGAAAGAGCAATCCCATGATGGGTGACCGACTGGGAAGTTCTCGTGTGAGTTTCTAGAAACAAAACCATGAGGGCGTGGTCGGGGCCCAAAGCGGACAATATCGTGTTACGACGGAGTCAAGCCCGGGATGTGGTGGGAGCTAGGGCTAGGATGTGACAACATGCACCGTAAGTAATCACATTCGTAAAATGATGCAATATCTACTTCTTAGATATCTTTTGTGATTCTCTCGGTTTGATAATGATTATATTATCCTAAAATATGCATCTCTGCTCCCAAAATTATCGCATACTTATTATATTGCTTATTGCTTAAGTCTTATATTGCTTACTAACTTGATCGTTGGAGAGCCTTTGATTAGCATACACCACCTCCCCCCTCCCCATGCCCCGATTATACTTGTTCACAGTAATTTGTTCTTTTATAGTTTAGTTGGATTTGTGCATCTTTACCGCTTACAGCGGTGTGAATTTGGTTCCAACAATTGGTGTTTTCATTGAGAGTGAAAATCATATTCCTCTTGACCAACTCAATCTATCACAGACATGAACACATAAGAAAGCTTTATTAAATCCAACACTAACAAGGTGACCGATGACAACCTTGCCCCTGATGTCTCAATCCCATCCATTGAGAATAATCTTGTTGTCGACACCACCAACACTCTAGGGGCAAGCAATCAAACCCTTCATGCTCTAGCCACCCCAAAGGGCGGCGATGCTTTGCCTATTGGACCTCCCAATATGAGGCATGTATGAGATACTTTACCAAAGATCGACGCTTCTGTTGATAAGTTGCAGCATGCCTATACTACTTTTCGGGTGATGTCCTTCGTGGACGTCAAGAAGAGAATGAAGGCTCTCAAAAGATCCAGTAGGACCTTCCCACAAACTCAAATTCCTATTTTCGATTATAGCAACATAAGTACCATAACCCCAGATGAATAACTCATCGAGCCAACTTATACTCCAACTTTAGCAGACATCACTAATCCGAGTACAAACCCGCTTCATAATGATCAAACTGCCAATAACACTGCTCCAAACGGGACAAAGGTTCTACACAACCCTGGTCCCTTGGCTGTTGCAAGAGTGCACCGGATGGAACCACGACACTGAGCTTTAACGACCCAAAGTCTTCAGAGGAGCCAAAGAGATGTCGACTCGATAACCACGACATGACTAGAGATGCCCCAAGGAAAACTCCACTTCGTATCCCTGGTTGGACTGTCGTGAAAGTGAAAAGCACACTCTCTTCAACAATCGAATATCCGCCTTCGCCTTATAAGTTTTCTCAACCTCAATTTAAGTACTTCTGCGGTGACACTGATCCGGATTACCACATCATGCACTATATGAGCGTCATGGCGTTATACAGCAACAACGACATTTGGATGTAGAAGATGTTCTCCTCTATCCTAGAGGGGACCGTCATGAGGTGGTTCTCAGAGTTATTAACTCGTTTGATTGATTGCTTCAAAAATTTGGTCAACATCTTCACCAACACCTATTTGGTGTACTATGATGTCCAAAAGCAACACAAGGCCATATTCATCATGGTAGCTCAAAGCAAGGACAAAATTCTTAAAGCTTACCTGAAGTGGTTCCACGCGAAATCGGCTAAGGTAGAAAGGCTTGACGACATACTTGCCATCATGGCTTACAAGTAAGGACTCTATTTCAACTCGCCCTTCTCCTAGAAGCTGAACAAGAGGAAGTACGACTATGCCACCCTAGCAGAATGTTTGACCTCACTAACTGGGACAACAAAACCAAAAGGAAGGTTCCTTATCAGGACCGCAGTAGGAAGCTCAAACGAAAAAGAGAAGACTAGAGCAATCCACCTCTATCTTCCCGTCAACATGACATGAGGGGACGAAAAATAAATCAGCTCCACTTAGATTGAGGCAATATACTGACCTGCACACAATCATCAACAACATTCTTCACAGCATCAAGGACAAACCCTTCCTCGAACAGTTGGAACATCTTCCTGAACATCTGGTAAATAAAAGCCAAAAGAGTATTGCTCATTCCACCAATGCATAAGCCCATTCGAAATTGACAAACGCTCAGAGACCACATCGAGGAAATCATTAACCAATGACACTGTTGGGAGTTTGTAAGAAGCAAGGCAAGGAAAGAAAAAGCCCCCCGAAGAAAAGGACAAAGGTGAATCCGACAGGTACGACCTGACTGATGACAAGGATGACAAGAGGTCATCAAAGAAGCTCACTCTCAACTTAGGATTGCAGAGAGAGTGCCGTAGGTTTGAATAGCATCCATCGCCTACTATTGTGAGAGGCGCGTGTGCATTGAGTTCTAGATCACTACCTTTGAATTTATACTGCACCCCCTTGACAGTACCTTTTTCTTCCAGTAGAGATGTCACCATTCCTTGTTCCAATCTTACATTGATGTCGAAATTTAAGAAATGACACACAAATGAGACTCTAGAAGAGTATGCAAATCTCCTTCATGATGAATCTCACATACCATGTATTATCCGATATCGTATAGATTCTTGTTAAATACATGGTTAAGTTTTCACAGTCTGACAACATAGCATGACAAACTTTCAAGCAAAGAGAATATATTAAAGATCCACTGCAATATGTAATCAAAGGATCTATCTTTGCATAGCAAATACAGACCAAACGTCAAATTATAACAGATACTTTAAATAGATGACTGAAGCGGAGGGAAAAGACCTCTAAAACTTTGAATTATACAACACATGGCGAGCCTACTGAAAAAAGAATACTATGAAATGTGTTTGAAGGGAAATGAAGAGTACTTGGGAAGAGATGAAGCTTTTTCCCGCATCCTTTGAATGAAACGCCCGTGGTGAAAGCTTCTCCCAGCCCACATCAGGATGGAAGTTTTCCAAAGGATATGGCAGCTTGGTACTTTTTCCATCCTTGTAAAGAGCATATCCGAAAACCCGTTGAGCATCAATCTCATTTACACAATCTTCAACCAAACAGAAATATTAACAATTATGTAGTTGTCTAACTCATAGTGGAAATAAATGAGGAGAACAGTTATGGAACATTCATATAAGTCCTCAGGTTTATACTTCTTTACTTCTTTGCTTATCCTCAAGGCCTAACTCAACTAATCTGAGATATCCCCCTGGTTGCAGCAGCTCGCCGACGATTCTGTCTGGCTCACTCAAGTCCCTTTCAACCACATGCACTCGGCGCCCATCCTGCTGTATGCAGACATTGTAAACAAAACATAGCAATAGTAAGAAGACAAGACATGATAACTTAGATTTGTGCAAATTGTAAATATTATGATCCTGATGTTACTAAATACAATGTAACAAAAATATATGAAAGGATTTTCCTAATGATCCAAAACTCAGATGATCTTGGAGACCCCAAACAGATCTCAAGGCGTTATCTTTAAGTTATCTTCCCACCGATGCAGAAAATATAATCTCAGATAAAAGGAAACAATTACATATTTTTAATGAACAGAAATAAAGAGTGATAACCATTAAATTTCGAAAACCTTAAACCTCGTCAAGTTATATATCGCACAAATATAGAAAGAGGCATAGAATCCTTAGAGAGTGAGAGAATGTCACCTTCCCAAGAGTTTAAGCGAGCGCCGAACCAACAACAACCCAGCACCAACAACGATAATGTCTGCACTTTCAACCATCTTTGCCTCGTCGCACGTTCCATTTTCACAGCTCTTCAAACAATTCCCATTTTGATGAGCTCTGGCCTTCTTCTGTCGTCTTAGACTGCACAAGAAAAAAAAACCCGAGCAGCGAGGCTATAACAGCACACACTATATTCAGGTAAACCATCTTCAAAGATCGTGAATTCGGTTAGAGAAGATTATGGTGGAGCTCTCTGAATTTTAGTTCTTTTCAAGTGTTGGAGTTGGTTCTCAGACTTAAGTTGGCGCCTATATATGGTGAGCCAACTTTTTTAAAAACTTTTTTTAAAAACTATTTTTTGGTTTTGGGATAGAAACGTGGATAAGTTATGCGCCTACCACTGTAAATTATTTACCCAGGCCAAATTGGAAGACCTGAAAGCAAGTCATTTTGTACAAGACTGCGTAATTTAGTAAATTTCATTCCCCCCCAAGATTTAGTGGAAATCATTTGCAACTAAAATATAGGTAATCTTTTGGCAAATGGGAGTTTAGGCCAGTTGGCTAAGACAATATACCATTCCTCTTACATATGAGTTTAAGTTTCATTTTTCGTAAATTAGAATATAGTTTTGAATGGAAATAACAATGTAACCGAAATTAACAAATGTTTGGAGGTTATTGAATAATAAAGTAATTTACTTCACAAATATAATTTTTATTTCGCAATTGTTATGATATTTATATGTTACGAGATAACAAAGTACTCTCTACAATGATGCTGGCTACAACTCAATCTCTAGCTCATTACAAATTTATATCGTTAACATGTTCACGCGAGGCTGACTATAACCCTTTTCTCTTACATTTCGGAACTAGTAGTGATCGTATAACAGAACCAGAAAATTTACATGGTCAGCGATTAAGTGCATTGGAATGGCTGTCCAAATAAGACTTGATTTAGTCAGAGAGGGGCTGGTAAGTGTGGAAGTGGATCATATATTATTATACATAGTACAAAATATTAATATTCTGCCATGCAAATGTCAAAAAAAGAAAAAAAAAAAAATCTCTAGGTTTTAAAAACCATGGGTGCCAAACAGGGGGCGGGGGTGACAACTAGAAATGTTAAACTAAAACATAAAAAGATAAGAGAAGAAAAAAAAACAAACTTCCCTAATCCTCCTGTAAACTAAGTATATAGCATATAATCATGACTGTTAGAATAATTATCTGTCAAAAATATGGGATTATGGATCAAGTCAGTATGAAATTTGTTTATTTTATTTGAATATAATTGCAATTGGACAATGATACGATAAGGGCGTGTAAGTGATACAATAATGACTGATTCCTAACTATTGATGCATGCAAGACTCACTTGTATTTATGGTCAAGAATCACTCACGTTAGTCCTGACCTAGCAGTCCTTGCAATTATGTAATACAAAGTGAGTATACTGCATGAAGTGAAGAGAGCATGTAGCAATAGTTACATGGAAGAATCCAGGATTTGAAATTGTTACATGGAAGAATCTGTAATTATTGAGAAAGTGTGCTACGAGCCTACGACATTCTTTGTTTTCGGTTTTCTGAGTATCTTGTTTATACCGAAGGAAATCTGCGTGCAGGGAAGAACATTTGTCTTACTCCTTCAGTGTTGATTATGGGCAGAATGATTCTTAAAGCTTCCTGCAAAATTATAATAATAAATAGCTTTCCAAAAAAAAAAAAAATTATAATAATAAATACATATAAGGCTGTTCGTCTATCCATACATATATAAAAGCCATAAGACAATAAAATAGGAAGCATTCATATTTCCCAAACTACCCTTCCTTAACCATGATTTCAAAATCAATTTAATTTAAAAAAAAAATCCAAACAAACAAATTCTCGTCAAAACGAATTTTAACCACATTATTGCTAACATACTATGAGGCTTAACCTGTCACATCTCGGCCCGGGCCCCCATCACATCCCGGGCTCGATTCCGCCATAGCACGATATTGTCCGTTTTGGATCCCGACCACGCCCTCATGGTTTTGTTTCTAGGAACTCATATGAGAACTTCCTAGTGGGTTACCCATCATGGGATTGCTCTCGTGTGAACTCGCTTAACTTCGGAGTTCCGATGGAACTCAAAGCCAATGAGCTCCCCAAAAGCCTCGTGCTAGGTAAATATGATCTACTCCCTTGGACGACGTGGGATGTTACATAACCCACTCTCCCACCCTTAGTGTAGATCATATCGTTTGTTAAAAGAAAGAAAAAAATCTCATGCGGTGGACAGTTTTTTTTCTCTTATTTCTTTAATTTAAAAAAAAATAAAAAAATAAAAACCACAACAACAACAACAACAACAAAGCCTTTTCCCACTAAGTGGGGTCGGCTATATGAATCCTAGAACGCCATTGCGCTCGGTTTTGTGTCATGTCCTCCGTTAAATCCAAGTACTCTAAGCCTTTTCTTAGAGTCTCTTCCAAAGTTTTCCTAGGTCTTCCTCTACCCCTTCGGCCCTGAACCTCTGTCCCGTAGTCACATCTTCGAACCGGAGCGTCAGTCGGCCTTCTTTGCACATGTCCAAATCACCGGAACCGATTTTCTCTCATCTTTCCTTCAATTTCGGCTACTCCTACTTTACCTCGGATATCTCCTCATTCTCAATCTTATCCTTTCTCGTGTGCCCACACACATCCCACGAAGCATCCTCATCTCCGCTACACCCATTTTGTGTACGTGTTGATGTTTCACCACCCAAACATTCTGTGCCATACAACATCGCTGGCCTTATTGCCGTCCTATAAAAATTTTCCCTTGAGCTTCAGTGGCCTACGACGGTCACACAACACGCCGGATGCACTCTTACACTTCATCCATCCAGCTCGTATTCTATGGTTGAGATCTCCATCTAATTCTCCGTTCTCTTGCAAGATAGATCCTAGGTAGCGAAAACGGTCGCTTTTTGTGATCTTCGCTAGATTGCTCCGGTCATTAGTGTGGATAAGTATATAAATGGATAGAGATAGGAAAGCAAAACACAGGATGTACGTGGTTCACACCCAGATTGGCTACGTCCACGGAATAGAAGAGTTCTCATTAATTGTGAAGGGTTTACACAAGTACATAGGTTCAAGCTCTCCTTTAGTGAGTACAAGTGAATGATTTAGTACAAATGACATTAGAGTACAAATGACATTAGGAAATATTGTGGGAGAATGATCTCGTAATCACGAAACTTCTAAGTATCGGAGTGTGGTATCATCTTGACTTGCCTTATCTGTCTCATAGGTAGATGTGGCAGCTTCTCTGGAAGTACTCTTCCTCCATCCAGGGGTGGTATCTTTAACTGGTGGAGATGCACAAGGTAATGTATCAATTTCACTTGAAGCTTACTTGTAGTTTCAGGCTTGGTCAAGCGCGATACAAACCATGTAGTAGGAGTCCCCCAAGTCGCCGAGCTAGGGGATCTGCTGAAAGAGGTGACAGACAAGGTAAGCAATCAGAGCTCCGGCTGATTGTTCACCTTCTCCCCATCTTGCAGCAGCATGAAGGATAAAGAGAAGAAAAATGAGAAGAGATGATATGGGATACTTTTGCTTTTGAAGAAGTAACTTTCCACAGGCTTATTCTTGAACTGAGCTGGAGGGTTTTCTGGTTTCCTCCAGAGTATAAGGCCGACTGAAGAATTTGAGGGTCAAAACAAGTCCATCAAATCTAGAGTACGTTCGACCCTGCTGATATGGGATACTTTTGCTTTTGACAGAGTAATGGATGTATCGGCATGTGTGCTGTTACGCTTGTCTCCACATGCTTCCTTGTATCCTTCGCACTTGCCCTATCTGTTCCTCAAGCAGATGCGGTATCTTCCCTGGAAACATAAGATGTTGAAGATGAGTACTCGAGAGCAATGCCAGGTAAGTAATCAGGTAAGGGGTTCCAGGTAGTCAGTTCCTGGCTGGGAGCTTGATTTCAAGTGCTGACTGATTGCTCTATTTCTCCTTGTCTTGCAGGTAAAAACAAGGCCAAAGGAAAAGACAGGGAAAAAAGCATGATATGGGATACTCTTGCTTTTAACCCTGATGATATATGAGATATTCTTGCTCTAGTATAGCTTGTTTGCAGAGGTATTATCGGGGGGAAAGAAAGCTGAATATTTCGAAAGGCTTCGTTGGGAGTGCCCTCTCAGATATGAGGAAGAGTTGAGCATTTTTGCAGGTCTGCCTGTCCGTTGGGGATGGAGGTCGACATATATAGGAGTCTCCCTAACAACAAGTAGTAATGCTATTCCTTTACCCTGCTTGGTCATAGCACGGTAGTGGGAGCTGCCAGCTTCACATGTTTTAACTTTGTCAGAGCACTTTGAAAAAGTGGTATGTGGTATCTGGCTCTCGAGATTCGGAGAACGATGCTTCTTCGATTTTTGAGAAAGCAATTATGCTGGGGGTCTGGCTCTCGAGATTCGGGGAGCAGTGTCTCTTCGATTTTTGAGAAAGTAATCATGTTGGGAGTCTGGCTCTCGAGATTCGGAGGGCGGTGCCTCTTCAATTTTGGAATAAGCAATCTTGTTGGGAGTGTTTTCTCGGATGTGAGTAAAGGTTGGGCATGTTTGCTAGTCTACCTTGCCACGAAGCACGGAGGTTGACACACAGGGACTTTCCAATTATCCAGCAGTGGTACTGTTCCTTTACCCTTGTGGGTAATAATATGGTAGCTAGACCTTCAAAATTTATGTGTCTAAACTTTGTTAGTGCTGTTTCTTTGCTATTCTTTTACCTTTCTTGGTCAGAGCGATGTAGTGGGAGCTGCAAGCTTCACGTGCTCAACTTTGGCAGAGACTTTGGCAAAGTTATCTGTGGTACCCATGAGCTATTGTTGCGTGTGGGAAGTGGGTGATTGAACAGTAAGATTCATGTACTTTCTACTTCACCAGAAGTCTTCGACAGACAGAATGCCCATAATTTCCGCAAAGCTGAGTGTGCGTGTGACAGGTGCTGACAAGGCTAGAAAAGTAGGTGCCTCTTCGATTTCTGAGATCGGCCCTCGTGGTCTCTGAGGAGCCCAGCTTTTGAGAAAGCGAGCGCCTCTTCGATTGATTCGGAGAACGATGCCTCTTCGATTTTTGAGAAAGCAATCATGCTGGGGGTCTGGCTCTCGAGATTCGGGGAGCAGTGTCTCTTCGATTTTTGAGAAAGTAATCATGTTGGGAGTCTGGCTCTCGAGATTCGGAGGGCGGCGCCTCTTCGATTTTGGAGCAAGCAATCTTGTTGGGAGTGTTTTCTCGCATGTGAGTAAAGGTTGGGCATGTTTGCTAGTCTACCTTGCCACGAAGCACAGAGGTTGACACACAAGGACTTTCCAAATATCCAGCAATGGTACTGTTCCTTTACCCTCTCTTCGATTTTTGAGAAAGTAGTCATGTTGGGAGTCTGGCTCTCGAGATTCGGAGGACGGTGCCTCTTCGATTTTGGAGCAAGCAATCTTATTGGGAGTGTTTTCTCGAATGTGAGTAAAGGTTGGGCATGTTTGCTAGTCTACCTTGCCAAGAGGCACAGAGGTTGACACACAGGGACTTTCCAATTATCCAGCAGTGGTACTGTTCCTTTACCCTTGTGGGTAATAATATGGTAGCTAGACCTTCAAAATTTATGGGTCTAAACTTTGGTAGTGCTGTTTCTTTACTATTCTTTTACCCTTCTTGGTCAGAGCGATGTAGTGGGAGCTGCAAGCTTCACGTGCTCAACTTTGGCAGTGAACTTTGGCAAAGTTATCTGTGGTACCCATGAGCTATTGTTGTGTGTGGGAAGTGGGTGATTGGACAGTAAGATTCATGTGTTTTCTACTTCCCCAGAGAATACCCATAATTTCCGCAAAGCTGAGTGTGCGTGTGACAGGTGCTGACAAGGCTGGAAAAGTAGGTGCCTCTTCAATTTCTGAGATCGGCCCTCGTGGTCTCTGAGGAGCCCAGCTTTTGAGAAAGCGAGCGCCTCTTCGATTTCTAAGATCGGCTTTCGTGATCTTTGAGCAGCCCAACTTTTGAGAAAGAAAACACCTCTTCGATTTATGAGATCAACCCTCGTGGTCTCTAAGCAGCCCAGCTTTTGAGAAAGCAAACGCCTCTTCGATTTTTGAGCAGGCGCCTCTTCGATGTCTGAGGCTCTGTCGAGTGCAGCTTTTTATAGGGGCTGGCATTAAGTTCCAAAGCACACTTGAATCTCCACCAGTAGAAGCTCCATTCTTGCACTTCTAAGATCTTGATTTGTCCGACCTCTTCTCTCTTCAACACCTTTGAAAATGTCTGGCCCCTCCGACCGTCGTTTTGACTTGAACCTTGTTGAAGAGGCAGCCCTGCCTTCGCCAGACAACATATGGCGCCCATCCTTCGTCTCCCCTACTGGTCCTCTTACCGTTGGGGATTCCGTGATGAAGAATGATATGACCGCTGCGGTGGTGGCCAGGAACCTTCTCACTCCCAAAGATAACAGACTACTTTCCAAACGGTCTGATGAGTTAGCTGTTAAGGATTCACTGGCTCTCAGTGTTCAGTGTGCAGGTTCTGTGTCTAATATGGCCCAACGCCTATTTGCTCGAACCCGCCAAGTTGAATCATTGGCGGCCGAAGTGATGAGTCTCAAACAGGAGATTAGAGGGCTCAAGCATGAGAATAAACAGTTGCACCGGCTCGCACATGACTATGCTACAAACATGAAGAGGAAGCTTGACCAGATGAAGGAAACTGATGGTCAGGTTTTACTTGATCATCAGAGATTTGTGGGTTTGTTCCAAAGGCATTTATTGCCTTCGTCTTCTGGGGCTGTACCGCGTAATGAAGCTCCAAATGATCAACCTCTGATGCTTCATCCTTCTAGGGTTCTGTCCAGTACTGAGGCTCCGAATGATCCCCCTCCGATGCCTTCTCTTTCTGGGGCTCTACCGACTGCTGAGACTTCTCCTAAGCAACCTTTGTGAAGGCTCCATCTTGTTTGTTTATTTTGACTCATGTATATGTACATATTTGTAGCTTATCGGGGATATCAATAAATAAGCTTTCCTTCATTTCAACGTATTGTGTTAAATACACCAAAGCCTTCTTCGCTAAGTTCTTTGAATTTTCTTTTGTTGAAGCTTGTATGTTGAAGCTTTCTGAGTGGAGCATGTAGGTTGGGGTAGTGTTCCCTTAATTTTCCGAGTGAGGATGTAAAAGAGCAAATTGTCACACGCATAAGCATGTGACAAGATGCTAGTTTATTTATAAATTCTGAAATGAAATGACGGTTAATTGTAAAAAGACAGAGTGGTAGAGAAAGACCTGGAAAGACAAAGATAGAGTCAAAGACATGACAAAAATACATTTTGGGGGTAGAAGATGTAATTATGAGACAAAGACAGAGCCAAAGGGGTAAAGGAAGACCTGGGAAGACTTGGAAGGAGATTCTAAGAAAACACTTGGACTACTTGGATTCAGGGTCGTCTCTAACATTTTGGGGGTCCTGTGTGAATTCAATAAAAAAGCCTTCCTTAATTAAAAAAAAATTGGACAATATATTCATTCAGGATTCAACAATCGATATTCAAACTTAATTGGAATCAACATCTCACTCTTACTAAATGAATAATCTTTAATTGCCATAAAAGCATGATTTAGGCTTTGTCCATAAAATATAGAGCACAAAATCATGTAATATATAGGAGGGTAAAATATTTTGGGGCCTCTCTATGCCATTGCACATTTTGTACACCCCAACGCCCCCTTTGCTTACATTTAGTGAAAAACATGATAGAAAACTGAGCATAGTGGTGTTCTAGAATTTATATAGCGACCTCACTTTGTGGGAGTGGTTGTTGTAATAGAGTTACTCACCAAGATTAGTCTGGCTGCAATCCATATACGTTTTGGTGAAGGAAACGGAATTAGCAAGCGTCCAACAGCATAAATACCCACGACAAAGAACTGGATAACCAAGCTCCAGGGGCAATAGTTTAGACCGGAGAAAGCAGCGAGAGCTCCATTTGAAAAGACGCGTCCAAGGCAAAAATAATCGAAGCATGCTTGGCGCAATTCCTTTCTTGCTGGATCAGGGGATGCACATAACACCTTGTACGCGGCACCTGCCAATGTGTTTATGGTAAAAGCCGCTGGCTGCAGCGAAACCAAGAATTATCTTATATGAAGTTACCTGTAAATTTGAGCCAACTGCTAACAGTGAAAGGCATAGACTGCTTACCTTACGTAGCGTATAGAAGGATTCGAGGTATTTAAATAGGGCAGGAACATCATTCAGATTGCGCAGGGGTCTGAGAAGATTCCTTAGAACAACAACGTCCGATAGAGCCACAACCATGCCTCCCCCAGTTATAGGATGCCGCATGTTGACTGCATCCCCCATTAGGAGAGCACCTGGGGTGTGAGAAGCAGTAGCAGGCATGCTCCTGGTGGGCATTGTTTTTATGTTTCCCTTATCAATGGCAACCAAAAAAGCAGTGTACAGTTCGGGAAGAACCTGAAATATTATACGACTAAATTAGTTCAAATGGTTAGATAAGTGAAGTACGAATAAAATCAAACACATATTTCATTAAGTTTCCAAGATGTAATCCTACCTGGGGTGCCACCTTTGTTTTCAAGTAGTGAGCCATTTCACCACTAGAAATAGAAGGTACTTGCTGGCCTGGTACATCAACCAAGCAGCGAATCTCCCTGCTGCCGATGGGATAAAATGATACGAGTGATGGATCCCCCAAAATTACATGTGCATGATTTGCATATGGAAGCTGGCAATCCTCAAGAATCAAACCAACAAAACAAGAAGGAATATCAACCTGCAGATAAACAATGGCAATAGTTGATTTGCTGATTGAAAATTCTTAAAAATCTGGTTCAGTATATTTATTTTCATGTCATTTGAGATAATTAGCATGCACTAGAAAAAAGAAGAAAACAAAACTGGCACGCTATTTTCACCTTAGGATTGCACAGATAACGTCGCAAGTTTGAACAGCAACCATCACATACAATTGTGAGGGGTGCATGCGCAGTGAACTCTTGACTACCTTTGCGTCTAAACTTCACCCCTTTGATAGTACCCTTTTCTTCAAGCAGAGATGTAACCGTTCCTTGTTCCAACTCTACACTGAAGTCAAAATTTTGGAGGATGAAATGAATATCATGTATGCCAATTGTACTAGTGAACTAGCTTAAGTATAGTAGAACTAGAAACATTTAGAAATCAACTTATAACATTACTTAATAGAAAAGGCTGAAACAGAGAGAAAGTCCGAGTATTTAAGTTTTCTACCAGCTTGAAAAGACAAAACTGAGTAACTCTACATGCACCAAATTTCAATGACATTATTCACCACATCGTTATATGTAACTGGAATCTGTTTGTGAGATACAAGTTCAGCAATGCTGTATATACATAATAACGTGGGAATGTTTGAAAGGAAAAGAAGGATACCTTGGAAGAGATGAAGCTTTATCACGCATTCTTTGAATGAAACGCCCATGGTGAAAGCTTACCCCAACCACATCTGGATTGAAATTTTCCGAAGGATATGGCAGCTTGGTCCTTATCCCATCCTTGTAAAGAACATATCCGAAGATTTTCTGAGCATCAATTTTGTTGACACAATCTAATCATAGACCGATTATTATTTAGCATATATATATATATATAACTAGAAAAGGAAAAACAGAAGGAAAGGTCAACCACTTAGAACCTGGCAGAAATTACAACAATTTGAGCAAATAATGCGAGTCTTCAGGTTCATTCTTGACACGACTAAGTAATATGAAAATATTTCATATGCGTAAATATCTTAATTACCCTCAAGACCCAACTCAATTAGTCTCAGATAAGCCCCAGGTTGTAGCAGTTCACCAACGATTCTATCTGGCTTGGTCAAGTCTCTTTCAATCACATGCACTCGGCGCCCATCCTGCAGTTCAATGCAGATAATATTGTAACTGATCACTATCTTAAACATCAAAAAGAACATTAGAAGTTCAATCATTTCCATAAACCAAATGAATCCAGCATAAACCTTAAACCATTTCAAGTATAGATCAAAAGAAAGTGTACAAAAGACCAAGAACCCTCAGAGAGTGAGACTGTCACCTTCCCGAGAGTGTAAGCTAGTGCCGAACCAGCAACACCAGCACCCACAATGATAACATCCACACCTGCACCTATGTCTTTCTGCAGACACATTCCATTTTCAGAGCTCCTCCAACCATTCACATTCCGATCCTTTACTAAAGCTCTGTCCTTTTTCTTCCGTCTGAAACCGTACGAGGAAACAAACCCCAACAGAAAAGCCACGACAGCAACCAACATAAGCTGGAAAACCATGATTTTAGAGTTTCTGCCAAGATTAAAACTTTGGCGCCATTATATAGAGTGAGCCAACGGTCAAAAAACTGCTATTTTGGCTCTGGAGCAAAGGCGTATACATCCCCTCCACAATCAGTTGGACATGAGCATTGCGTGAGGGGTAGATGGCAGAAGAAAGACGCATATTTAGCATACATTTGTTACACACTCATATGTTGCCTATTCCAAGTTTCGTGCCCTTTAACATGCAAACTGCCCGGAATTATGCAAAGGGTTGTTTTATTGACACCCTACAAATTGTTAACTACACTCCATTTACATTTTGGGGCTTTTAGATTTTAGGACCTAAATAAGATTACTTTTAGATTATAACCTGCATGGTTTTCTCTATCTAATTTAAGTCCATATTTTAAAATCTTAACTCCATGTCATATTTAACTGCCTCTATCACATACACTATTTACAAAATTGCTATCCACATTTTCCTATTCAAATTTCAATGCATAATTAAGTCTAAAAATTAGGAATTGACATTCACACTCAAACCACCCATTAATAGATTTAATTCAAAATTCAAAAATTCAAAAATTTTTGGAATGTACTAATAGGTACAAGAAAATAAATGAATTTTTTTTATTGATTAATTGTGAATATAAATGTGAAAGAAATGACAAAAATACATTACAAAAAGAAAAACAAAACATCACCACTAACACAATTTCCATCTCCACAAGAAAATGAACACCCATAAAAATTATAGGTACATTAACAAAGTGATATATATAGGTGCGGAAGTATAAGTGCACAAGCATAGGTACGGAAGTATAAGTGCATAAGCATAGGTACGGAAGTATAAGTACGTAAACATAGGTATGGAAGTATAAATGCATAAACATAGGTACGTAATTCCGGTATGCAAATTTTACTCCATGTATCTTCATATGAGTACACAAATCATAGATTTAAAAATACGTATTGTCAATCTTCATAGACAACAAATTATCATACATGAATAAACATAATTCATAGGTAAAAAATAGATTTGCAAGCCTTAGTTGTTCCATAATGCTAGAAACATATGAATCATGAGAATATACAATTGAGAGAGATAAGAGATAATATAAAGGAGAAGTGTGTATGTGAGTTGGACATATTGCTCTTTCTAAATGAGACTTGATTGTGTAACCCGACATTCGGTATAAACATTTCTTTTATTGATTTCAAAAATAAAACTGAAAGCTCAAAAGCCTAATAGTCAATATTTATGAGCTAAATCATAAGAAAAGGGCGATTTAATTAGGAACAAACAAAAATAATTCTTTTAATTAATTGACTCTTCAACTCCTATATGGAAAGTTGCTGAGTTGAATATAAAGTCAAAGCATTAAATATTTATGAGCTAAATCATAAGACATTTTCTGCTACCTCAGGGGTATGACAAATTTGGGTATGTTCTTCCCTTATGAATCCTCGAGAGAAGTCATCGCCCTCTTCGGTCATCAAGTTGATTGTTGCCTTGTTGGTTATGCTGATGCATGTTATTTATCTGACCTGCACAAGGCGCTTTCTCAAACGGGTTACGTATTATGATTGGAAACATTGCAACTTCTTGGAGGTTTACCAAACATTCATTAGTTGTGACGACTCTTTTTCAAACCATGCTGAAATTCTCGCCTTGCATGAAGCTAATGAATGCTTTTAGCTGAGAGCAATTATGGAACATATTCGAAGTACTAGCGGTCTTTCTATCATCGTTGATGTCCCTACAATGATTTTTGACAACAACGCTACTTGTATCAACCAACTGAAGAAATGATACTGATAAGTGAATTTTATATTATATATTTAACCCTATTCTTGGTATATTTTTATTCATATTTTGGAAGAATTTTGATACTTTGAATTGTATTTTCAATATAGGACTCTCGACTTTCTCTGAAGCAAAATGGAGTCAAATGGACGAATTTTGGAGTAATTCCAATTGGAAGACGTTCTTGAGTCAATTAGCTTGATCGTATCAAAATTTGGGATTTTTCCATCAAGCGGTTATTTTATGGCGATAAAATAAAGGAGCGATGCGCGGTGCTGGAAAATGACGTTTCTGGGCTTAAAGTGCGTTTTTTGGAGCACAAGATGACCTCGGATGGTTTCGTGGCCTTTTGGAGATGTGTTCGGAACGTCCTTATCTTTAAAACAACCTATCTTGGGCCTGATTTGGAGGAGATCTGTGGCTAAAACGTGGCTGGATAAGTACTTGGCAGATTCTCCTAGTTTAATTAGGGTTTTATTTTCTAAGATATTTTTTTATTATTTTTCTTAGTTTCCTAGTTGGAATAAGAAACCTATGTCTTAGGGTTTGTAAGGGCTGAGCAAATATATTGCTTTGGCCGTCTACAATTTTGTGGACGCTTATTATTATTCAACTTCAGAGACAAAGAACTTGGCTAGGGTTCTTGGAGATTTTCTACTTTAAGGTGCTTTCATTCCTTTTGTTTTTAATAATATTTTCTATGATTTCAATTATGAATATGCATAACTAATTCCTTTTGCTAGGGCGAAGCCTTGAGCCTTAGCATGAATATGTAATTTTTATTTAATTGCTTATGATTGATTGCATGCACACTTTGAATTATTGATCACTGTTTCAAACTATCTAATTATCTTGATGATTGGCCACCATTAGGATGTTTAGGCAAGTAATTGGATGCAATTCGGTCGGAATATCACCGGAGGATTGAGTATTGCTTCTTGTGATTGATAATTGTAATTTCATCTAAGGCGAATATCACGTTCTTAGGGGTTGCATGGTTCTTCAAAAGGTTTTCATAAAACTTAATGAGTCTTGTATGTTCATATTTGATCTGAATATCACAGACGGATTGCATGTTAGATATACGTTCTTGCTTGAATATCACGAGGAGAATATGTATTAGGAAAATCTAACCTTCGAAGTGGCATGTGTAAATTGTAAGTAATTGGTAGAAATTCATAGGATTGCTAGGTGATGGTGGAACCCTAGTGCCTTTATAAATTGGTATTTAAAACTCTTTTCTTCGATTATTTTAGTTTTTGTTTAAAATTCGTTTTTAATATTACCCACTCTCAAACTCTCTTTTCTCAAGTTTTAATTCTAAGTATTTAATTAGGAATTGTTTCTACATAAGTTATCCAAATAGTCCTTGAGGAAAACGACTTTGCATGAGCATCTATACTACAATATCATTGTATTCTTGCAAGTATTTCATGTGATTTTGATTTCATGTGATTTTGACCCTATTTGCATAGACGTTAAAAATCCTATCAGATACATCAAGGGAGACAACAGCAAGCCGGCAAAGTTCTTTTATTCTCATCAGCAACAACAGTATCAGAACATTGAAGTCAAGCAAATCTATTCCCAAGACAACTTGGCCGATCTCTTTACGAAGTCACTGCCCAAGTTTACTTTTCAAAAGCTTGTCCAAGGAATCAGAATGTGTAAATTTTATGACCTGAATAACTTGTAGTTCTCTTATTTGGAAGTTTTGTCAAACTAAGGGGGAGTATCCAGAAGTATACTCACTTAATCTTAATGTATTATTTTTTCCTACGATTAGGAGCATTTTTCCTACTGAGTTTTGCTATCTATTGAGGTTTTGATGAGGCAACCATCCTCAGATGGTCATACCCTTATGAGGTATACTACTTTCATCCCGTATGACGTTTGTTTTTGATATTATGCATACTTCTCACGTTTCTCCTTAGCCTATGGGTTTTTCACCTATTTTGGCTTTTGCCATAGTAAGGTTTTGTGAGTTTTACTGCAATGCATGCTACTCACAATGCATGTTTTCGTTAGTTTGAGTTATCAGCTTATCTACTTCATCCGCTAAAGACCTAATGCAATGTTTTGTTTGAGTATTTACACACTCAAGGGGAATGTTGCAATCCTATTAGATTATGAATGTGATCGTGCAAATCCAATCATATCTTAGGCTATCCTTGTGGAATTCTACTATATCTCTTTAGATTATATATTATCCTATTAGGGTTGTAATCCTATTGGGGTAAGAAATTTACCTTCCCTACTAGTATAAATAAAGGCACAATAGGATGAGATAAAACACACCTTAGAATCACACATCTCTCTCTTTCCTCTACTGCCGCCGCACCTTTCACTCTGTCTGTCCTTTGTATTGTTCTAACTTGCTATATATTTTTATTTTTCTAGTTCATTGACCCAACCTAAATTTCAATACGCAAGCCAAGAATCAATTCAAATTCAACATCCTCATTTACTTATTAGCCAATAGAAGCACTACCTGCGTAAATAAAGTAGTATAAAAACAAACATGTAATTGATTAGTCTTGTTTTGTTTAGAGTCGTTTATAAAACTCAAAATTGTAACCAATGTTGTAAAATCGATGGTGGGTGCAGTGGAATAAATAAACAAGACACAAAATTTACGACGTTCCTCTACAGTCAGTGTGACTAGAGTACGTCATCGGGGCAACAGTGGTGCTTTCATTATAATTTAGAATAATAGGAGTACAAAAATAACTCTCTCTATTATCTCCTCTCCTCTTCCTCTCTTTTCTCTCTTCATCTTCCGTGAACTTTGTGGCTTCTATGTATTTTCTCTCATCCTCAACATTCCCTTTTATAGGCATAAACGATAGTGCCTGCTGCCTTGCTGCCAACTAAGCTACAGTGCTCTAAAGTGGTTGATATAGTCATCCATTACATCATTTAGTGGTCAGCCACCAATATTTACAACACTCCCCCTTGGATGACCACAAATCTTCGATTGACTCGTTAAAATCTTGATCTATTTTTGGATGCTCCCCCTGATAAGTAGTACCATATCTATTGTGCTTATTGACTTTCCATAGACTTGTTCTTGAACTGGGTTGGAGGGCCTTCTACTAGACTTCCTCCAAAGGTCTGAATTTTACTCCTTGTATCTGGAGCTGAATTTGATTCAAGGGTGGTAGATACTTAATCTTAAATTGGACTTGTGATTTCTTTAGGGGTCGTCGA